CTGACTGAAATGCTGCCCAAACCGTATCAGAGAGTCCACCGTGTTTTACAGATGGCTGTAGACACTCACTGTATTTCTCTCTTGATCTCCTCCAAACACAATCATTTGAACAGATTAAAAAAAACTTGGATTAATCACTCCATCAGATCTTTTGCCCTCATTTTCAATACAGGTCTTGTGTAGCTGTCATAGCTCAGTCTTTTCTCCCAGTTTCCCTCCTTTAAGAATTGCTTCCTGATGGCCACCCTTCCACTGAGACCATTTCTGGTGAGGCTTTATTGAACAGTAGATGATCAGCTGAAGGTCCACATGAATCTCTCAGGTGCTGTATCAGGTCTTTTCTGGATTTTTCCTTGTTTCTTAAGTACATGGCTTTCTGAATACTGTTAATCTGTTGTAAATAGTATTTTTAAACCTGACACATCTTCTTTGGCCCTCAGCTTGTCCTCAAAAATTTTTAAGGATATCTTACATACCATATATCAGGTTTTTGACATAGCGCTGGTTCATATCTTAGATTAGGAGCCTTTTTATGCTTCAGTGTTAGTCAGTGTTAAGCGCCTTAACAAACAAAAAACATTTGTCTATAAATGGTCAGCTACAAGGACTGTAAACTTGTAAGTCATTATATAATCAGCACACTTTTGTCCTTCTTGTCCTACAGTGGAGCAAAAAAGTATTTAGTCAGCCACCGATTGTGCAAGTTCCCCCACCTAAAATGATGACAGAGGTCAGTAATTTGCACCAGAGGTACACTTCAACTGTGAGAGACAGAATGTGAAAAAAAAATCCATGAATCCACATGGTAGGATTTGTAAAGAATTTATTCGTAAATCAGGGTGGAAAATAAGTATTTGGTCAATAACAAAAATACAACTCAATACTTTGTAACATAACCTTTGTTGGCAATAACAGAGGTCAAACGTTTACTATAGGTCTTTACCAGGTTTGCACACACAGTAGCTGGTATTTTGGCCCATTCCTCCATGCAGATCTTCTCGAGAGCAGTGATGTTTTGGGGCTGTCGCCGAGCAACACGGACTTTCAACTCCCGCCACAGATTTTCTATGGGGTTGAGGTCTGGAGACTGGCTAGGCCACTCCAGGACTTTCAAATGCTTCTTACGGAGCCACTCCTTTGTTGCCCGGGCGGTGTGTTTTGGATCATTGTCATGTTGGAAGACCCAGCCTCGTTTCATCTTCAAAGTTCTCACTGATGGAAGGAGGTTTTGGCTCAAAATCTCACGATACATGGCCCCATTCATTCTGTCCTTAACACGGATCAGTCGTCCTGTCCCCTTGGCAGAAAAACAGCCCCATAGCATGATGTTTCCACCCCCATGCTTCACAGTAGGTATGGTGTTCTTGGGATGCAACTCAGTATTCTTCTTCCTCCAAACACGACGAGTTGAGTTTATACCAAAAAGTTCTACTTTGGTTTCATCTGACCACATGACATTCTCCCAATCCTCTGCTGTATCATCCATGTGCTCTCTGGCAAACTTCAGACGGGCCTGGACATGCACTGGCTTCAGCAGCGGAACACGTCTGGCACTGCGGGATTTGATTCCCTGCCGTTGTAGTGTGTTACTGATGGTGACCTTTGTTACTTTGGTCCCAGCTCTCTGCAGGTCATTCACCAGGTCCCCCCGTGTGGTTCTGGGATCTTTGCTCACCGTTCTCATGATCATTTTGACCCCACGGGATGAGATCTTGCGTGGAGCCCCAGATCGAGGGAGATTATCAGTGGTCTTGTATGTCTTCCATTTTCTGATGATTGCTCCCACAGTTGATTTTTTCACACCAAGCTGCTTGCCTATTGTAGATTCACTCTTCCCAGTCTGGTGCAGGTCTACAATACTTTTCCTGGTGTCCTTCGAAAGCTCTTTGGTCTTGGCCATGGCGGAGTTTGGAGTCTGACTGTTTGAGGCTGTGGACAGGTGTCTTTTATACAGATGATGAGTTCAAACAGGTGCCATTCATACAGGTAACGAGTGGGGGACAGAAAAGCTTCTTACAGAAGACGTTACAGGTCTGTGAGAGCCAGAGATTTTCCTTGTTTGAGGTGACCAAATACTTATTTTCCACCCTGATTTACGAATAAATTCTTTACAAATCCTACCATGTGGATTCATGGATTTTTTTTCCACATTCTGTCTCTCACAGTTGAAGTGTACCTCTGGTGCAAATTACTGACCTCTGTCATCATTTTAAGTGGGGGAACTTGCACAATCGGTGGCTGACTAAATACTTTTTTGCCCCACTGTATGTAGCAGGCACCAAAATAGATTATGCAAATATTTTCTCATAGCATATGTTAAAACAATTACCATCATCACACCCTCATAAAAATCAGTATAGGTGCCATTAAAATACTATAAAAACACAGAAATGCTTCATAAACCCAAATGAAAAACCCTTAAAACCTTCAAGCAACTGTCATTCAATGCCCTGGGCAGTGTTTGGCATATAAAGGGGAAGCTGTGGCGAATTAAAATAATAAACACACAAAATGAAATCAGTGCAGCGCTGCAGTTATCTTCATGTCTGGTGAACTGCAAACTGCTGGCAACAAACCTCATTGTGCTTCATGACAAATTTACTGCTCAAGGTCAGCGAAGAGGCGGCCCAAAGCGTTGCCTAAATTCACATTCGTATTTGCACAAATCGTAACCGCACTTTTACAACCTGAAACAACGAGCACGGCGCTGGCATATTTGTGTCCTGTTTGTTTTTGTTCAAGGGTCATTTCCCTGGAAAAGCCAACACAAATGTTTGCTCCCAAGTAAATCAATATTGGCATTTGCACATTAACGCATCTCTAATTTTCATCCAGATTTACAATTTCCCTCCATCTACAGTCCTTTCCCTTCTGACACGCAAACCTACTCTCTTCTCAAAACATTTCCTGTCGGCTGTCTGTCACCACCAGAACGAATGACTCATGACGCTATCCTGATTATTCCCCAAATTGCCACCACAAATGACTTTGCCCGGTTTTAGAGGTATTTGGCAGATTTCTCCGTGGATGTTTTGGGAACACATAACTTTTGTTCCTATAGTAATATTTGGGTAGACGAATGGCTTGAGGGGAGGTTTTTTTGGGGAGAGGAGTTATGAACTGGAGAGGAAAATAAAGGAGAGGAGAGACATTTCAACATTTCTCCCCACCAGTCACAACTAAAACCACTAAGTATACAGCCTTTTTACACTCTTCCCCTCCACCCTTTCCCTTGCTTCTCATTCACTCATTCCTCCGCTCCTTCCTTTTCATTTGCTCTCCCCTTTTTTCTTTATTTTTTGTTACCGCTGATTGGGATTAAATGTGGTGAGTGGAACTGTGATCCCACAGTCAGTCAAGAGGCAGAAATAAAGCCTTACATGGCGTATTTGCCCCCAAGTAGTTCTTTTTTTTTTTTGCACATGTATTTGAAGTCACTGATCCACCACAATATTAAAAACCACTGACAAGTGAAGTGAATAAAATTGATCATCTTGTTATAGGACAATGTTCTGCTGGGAAACCTTGGGTTTTGGCATTCATGTGGATGTCACGATGATATGTACCACCAAGCAAGACAATACGCCTCATGCCACTTCAAAATATTCTCAGTGACAGCTCAAGGAACACAACAAATATACCGAAATTACGATCCCAGTTCAATAGCACTATCAAAATCCAATCCCAGTAGGGCCCCACTGCTAATCCAAAGGAGCTGAAGACCATGATGCCAAAGTCCTCGTACAGGATACCCCGAGAGGTCCGATCTCCATGCCCCAAATGGTCAAAGTTATTTTGTTAGCAATGCATAGTTATGGCTGATTATGGTACAAGATAAAGCCACTATACTAATAATAATGCTTCATGCATAGCTGGTAAGTATCAGCAGTTTCTGAATGATGAGGTGTAATTGAAGTGAAATTAGGGGTTGATCTGAGTGGGCGATCATTTACAGTGAAAAATAATTGTGGGAAAACGAAACGAAACCACACAAAAAAACAGAGGGCTGCCAAGTACAAATGAGGCGACGATGTTTTCAAAAGATTTTTTTAAGTATATAAAATTGTTTTAAATTATATTTAAACTGATAACGTTATTTGTGTAAGGACATGTCACATGCTACTCAAAAGTAATCAGAATCATGAGTCTTTTTATTCTCTGTGTTGGATCAAACAGCCAAAATCTTAAATACTTAAATAACTGAACCAACAGATGCACCAAAACAATCTAAACAAAATGTTAGTATTAATTTACAAAATATGGCAAATTTATATTTCTTCTTGTCTTTGCATTTATCTACTCCCTCATTTATTTTGCCTTTTGCGTAATTTTGTATTTCATGGATTCAATTATTAATTTTCAACCTGTGCTGATGATTTCAGCAGTTTTGGTCCTCCGTAGATGACTGTATAAGCACTATAACCCACACCATTACAAATGGTAACTGGTAAATGCCTGTATTTGTATAGCGCTTTACTTAGCCCCTAAGGACCCCAAAGCGCTTTACACTACATTCAGTCATCCACCCATTCACACACCCATTCAGTGTGTGAATGGGTGTGTGAATTACAAAGAAATCTAAGTGGAGATGTGCACTTGCATGAAGTTAGCCAGCGTGCTGCTCTGGATGACGTCACACTGCAGTCTGAGGCAGGCAGGTTAAAGCTTTTTTGCCGGACTGTGCATTTTTCCATGCAGTGCTAAAATTGATTTAAACAGCCTGAAAAAACCCATAAATGGGCTTCGCTTAACATTTGCAATAGTGCTTCAGGAGGGGGAAAAACCGTGTAGAAAAGCAACTTTTAAATTCCTGCTATTCCCGATGCAATGACCACAGTCACAGTTTATCTGCTGTATGTGTGGTGCATTGTATGTGCTTGTACAATAAGTAAAAATATGTGTACTTCTATACAATAATAAGGTGTGACAAAGACTAGAATGCACAATGAAGACATCAGTCTCATCAGTAACAAAAGAAGACAGTGAAGATCGTGTCTTACCTTCACTTCACATTTCTTGTGGCAGGACAACCGGCACGCTGAAATAAAAGAGGCAGCATTATGTGCAGTTGTTAATTTACACCCACAGGAGCAAAAACCATTAACAACCGTAAAGAGACTAATGGATGTTTCCTTTCACATAGATCACAAAATGAAGCTGAAAGCAGCAACTGTAGATGTGTGCTCAGTATTGGAAAACAATTAAAGTGCTTAGATGGTGTGGAGAGTTTAGAATTGCAGCGCTGTACTGCTGAATGCACTGAAACTGAAATAAGGTCAGCACCATCCCTGATGCCAACATGCTGTGGTGCTGCCCTCAAGTGGTCACATGAAGCAAACATCCATCCATCAGTTTGCATTTCACTACCTTAATGTTTCAGGCAAAAGGTGAAACATTGATGCAAAAATCAATAGCAAATGCAAGCCAAAGTGATTGAAATGAACACAGAATGTTGATTAAACAGTGATAAATTGGACTTTTAATGTATGTTCTAGACTGTTAATGGGTCACACTTGAATCAAGGTGGTACAAGTCTCCTCAGCACATAATAGTAACAGTCTGTAATCAAATTTTATTCATTTATTAATGCAAATTTGTCTTTTTGCATGTTTGAAGCAAACACTCTTTATGAAAGATGGTCAGAAGTTTCAGGTCAGAAAGGTTAAGCCTTTGCACAGAAACCTTCAAGCTGCATTCTTTTTAACTACCAGGAGGGGGCGAATCCTCTATTTGAAAACAGGTATATAGGTATGTGAGGAAATAAACCTTCTTCTTTATGGATTTATGACCTCAGCAAACACTTTGAAGATACGCGTAGGATTCCAATCATTAGTTTGAAGTGTTACTGATTACAACACGATGCTTATTTTACAAAACAAAGTCCTATGTAGGGTAAAATACACAGGGTTGCTTGCTTTATGACTTTGCTTAATATGACTTTTCTCCCCCATTTTTAGTCAAAGTCAAATTTATTTATATAGCACATTTAAAACAACAAATGTTGACCAAGGTGCTGTACAATTAAGATAACTAAAAAACATAAAAACATAGGAGACATGATAAAAGAAAAGAAAAAGAATCATAAAATTAGAAGATTTGAGTAAGATATAACATAGTTAAAAGTAATACAAACTCATTCTGATTTAAAAGCCAAGGAATAAAACTGGGTTTTCAGACGGGTTTCAAAAGTGTCCAATGTTGGGCAGGTCCTGATGTGAAGGGGCAGTTTGTTCCATAGTTTAGGAGCAGTTACAGCAAAGCCCCGATCTCCTCTGTGCTTTAATCTGGACCTCGGGACAGCCAGGAGCAATTGATCCGCAGACCTCAGTGATCTTGCAGGAGTGTACCAATTTAAAAGATCAGAAAGGTATGAGGGTGCTAACCCATTTAATGCCTTACAAAAAAAAAAATCTTAAAATTAATTCTAAAACTAACTGGCACCCAGTGCAATGATGCCAGTATGGGGGATATGTGTTCACGCTTGCGTGTGCCAGTTAGTAACCGTGCTGCAGCATTTTGGACCAGCTGTAGACGGCTAACTGATGACAGACTAACACCAGAGTAAAGATTATTACAGTAGTCGAGGCGAGATGAAATGAAGTCATAAACAGCTCTGTCAAAGTCTCTAAAACAGAGAAATGGCTTCACTTTAGCAAAGATTAACCTTTTTGTATGTCTTTTGTTTATCTCATTCTTTGACATTCAAAGGGCCTCCCTGAGAGTGTTTTTTAGCTGATTTTAAAGCAATGTATCTGGACGATTGCACAGCACATAGTCTTATTGTCACATCTAATCCTTTACAATAACCAGCAATGTGCTGCATAGCAACCCTTCCTGGTAAAGGACAACAAGGAGTTTTAGATAATTATAATTGTCCAGGTGTTTGTGAACATATAGTACACTATAGCTCTAGTTTAACAGGACAGAAAGTACAATAAATAAAAGTGTATGCCTTCTTTTCTTTTCTGTACCCATATCTATCACCCAGCGTCGTTGCTACCCACATTTCTCACTCTTCACCCTAGCTCTGGCCCCCTCCCCTACCACTCATCCCTTTCCCCCTCTTTCCCCCTCTTATCTAGGCTAATGCAGCAGCAGCAGCCATGCTAATTTTAACACCAAATCCTCAGCCAAAGCCCTATACAAGCCCATTCCCCTACTGCTGGGCTTTTCTCCCCGTTTGTCATCTGGCCTCTGCTAAAGACACTCTGTTTGTACTGTAGTTCAAAAATGGGGAGAGCAAGGGAAAGAGTGCAAAGACAGATAGAGGGAGACCAGAGAAAAAGAAACAGAGGAAATGTGAGGCTGCCTGGGAGTCTTCTAATGTTAATTTCCCTTGGACTTTTCTTGGAGTGACAATAAAACCTTTAGTACTTCTAAAATTAGACTCAAAAACATGTGACTGGATCATTGAGGAAGAGGGGGAGGCAGGGGCTCAAAGGCAAGAGGGAGAGAAAGCAAAGCTAAAACAGTAGACCAATGCATACATAAATAGAGCGTACAGCATAAACAAAAAGGATGTGTATATTAAAAATAGACTTGGGGAGAGAAAACATTCAAATACAAATAAAACTTTGTTTTAAACCTTTCTTTAATGTAAACCTGAATGGCTTAAATTATGCTAGAATCAAGCTTTAGCTGACCTGCACTGAACTGAACTGTGCGGCAGTTTTTAGAGAGAAAATGCTTTCTTGATGCTAGAGGTGTGAGGAAAATGGCTAAAATGCTTCGAGCTGACCGGGAGGCAACAGTAACTCCAATAACACTTACAACCAAGGTATGCAGAAGAGTATCTCTGAATGCACAACACATTGAACTCAGCAGCACAAGACCATGTCCAGGACCTTCTTTTAGTCAGGCGATGGTGCTAACTTCTGTAATAAAGATGTCTAGGGGTTTGTTAAACTATTTGCCCACACTTTTTTTCACAGACTGACACTGTTTATAATAATGTTTCTTAAAGTAAAATTGGGTCATAACTCATAACATAACTGATATACATCTATTTACTGCCACTTCCAGGTTGCAGAAGCAGCAAGTCTAAGGAAGATTCATGTGAAGTCTAAGGAAGGCAGTTGTTATAAAATGGTCAGTTTTTATATTTATAAATGAATCTCACCCTCAGCCATTCTGGGAATCCAACCCCTGCCTGGTCATAATTTACTCGGTCTACTGTCTTACGTCTGCTCAGATCCACTTTAAAGCCAACATGCTAGACACCCACCTTTGCAGATGAGGCCCTCCTTGGTGATGGCCTGCTTGCATATATCACAACTCTTGGCCTTCTTGAATGGCTTCAGCTTAAAGGTGTGCGTGTGGACGCCCTCCAGCTCGTCGGGCTGCGGGAAGAAGAGGAAACGAGATCAGGAGTGCATCGCTACAAATCGATGGAAGCAGATCCAAAGCCAATCAAAACACATTCGATACATCTGGCTGCACGTGAGAGTTTCACCTCAACTTTTGATGATTTTTGGTTTCAGCTAAGCTGTTTCCTTGTGTCTTTGTTATACTGAATAGGAGGGTTAATGTCCGAAACAGTGATGCAACTCAAACAAGTCATTTTTCTACCTTATAAGGCCCAAAAGACTGTTGCGTGCAAATAAGTGCACTCACACTGACACACACGCGCACACACAGAGACACAGCCCACCCAACAGCATAGGATGTTTTCACTTTGAAGTTCTCTAATTAAATGACTAATTAACGATGGAGTGAAAAAAAGGCCTTACAGCAGCCAGCAACCTAAAAAACTCTAGGAATGATGCTTGCCTGTGTGTGTTCGTGTGTGTGTGTGTGCAGTATTGTTTGCAAGTGTGTGTCCGGGGCTTCATTTCAGAGCAGCCTGAGGACACAACAGCTCGAGAAACTGTGCAAAGCAGTGAAGAAGAAAAATCAAAAATATTGTTTTACGCATGCTGATGATGATGAGGAAGAAGAAGATGGGGTTGCAGCTGCTGCGAGCATGTTGCTCATGACCAGGATAACAACTTGGAGGATCCCAAAAGACCCTTGCAAAATTAATTCCATGACTTGTGTAATTTATTCCTGACATGCAATGACATCTCGAACGCTGTGTTAAAATGTGGGTTTCTCTCCAAACAGCTGCACATTACTCCGAATTGATCTGATTAGTCTGTCCTGCAGCTTGGAAAATGCACTCAACGCACGAGTTTTTCCTTTGAAGGAAACCAGCCGATGAACGCTTCAAAATGTGCTCAGAATAGACGAGTTGGTTTAGGTTTCTGAATGTTTTAGGCCTTTATTTTCTTTCTGACTTGCTTATGTGGTTTGATCTGGTTTTATTTTATCATACAAAGGTCTGTGGGTTGCTTTGATGCAGTTACCCCAGTTCGTATGGCCAAAAAGACAACAGGCAAATCCCAGATCTCTTCTTTTGTCATTTCATCATGTGACATCATCACTCAGAATTGCACTTAAAGCAAACACCCTGCTAGATCTCCCTCTTTCCCTGTTGTCCAAAGCCCACTTTTCCTAACAGCCTCCTCTGTGAGTCATAATAATGATGCCATTTCCTTTGTGTATTTGTGCAGCTGGCCTGGTTTGGGTTGAGCTTGGCTGGGCTGTAAATCTGAGTTTGCTTTATTGAAAACAGTATTTTATATACACCTCCTTCCAGATATCACCTTGAAAGGATGCATGAATGAGTCAATGAATTAAGACATTCCTCGAACATTCCCACGAATATAAATCATTGCGAGGGCTTTGGAATATTTATTTCTGGCAAAAGGAGAAATCAATCTTTCTTAAGGTGACCTGGTCTTTACCTGCAAACATAGTTTTTTGTTTTTTTTTAACAGATTAACAGTTGAAGAGTTAACTGATTATCTTATTCAACATAGGCAACATTGCTGCCACATCATGTTGTGCAAGTTGCTCACTGTAAATAGATCACTGATCACTTCTCCTACAGAGGAGTGATTGGTTTTAAGTTTTTCTGCTTTCTGTGTCTTTCTTTAAGTAGATAAACACGCTAATTGTTTCTACTTGCACCAGTTTGTGTTGATGTCTAAAGGTAAGTCTGTAATTCTGTAGTAGCACACAGTAATTGATTTTGTTTGCAGAGCACCAACGATGAGGAGCTGTTTGGGGGAGGGGAGGTTCTGGTAGAAAGAGTAGCTCAGAGCAGCTTATTTAAAATGCACAGGAAATGCATGTGCACGTGTCCACAGTGCTCCTGAAATTTACTCATTACCACTCACAGATTGTGGTCCATCTCTAAACCAAAGAACAAGTGACGTCTTACTTAGGACCACTATGCAACAGATAGCTCCTACTGCCACCTACAACATAACCTTCTACCACAAGTACTGTTTGAAATGCCGTGCTGTGGAACCTTAATTTTGTAACATTTTGCAAGGAAAATGGGGATCAATTTACGAAAAATGTGCAAATATACAAGAAAATGTCTAATGAGCTTCGAATGAGCTTAAAAGTCAATATTTAAGTAATCTTCAGGAATAGTTCTCCAGGCTTCTTGAAGGATATTCAAAGCTCTTCTTTGGATGTTTCTGCCTTTTGTTCTGTTCTCTGTCAACATGATCCCACACTGCTTCAATAATGTTGAGGTCCGGGCTCTGGGGAGGCCGATCCATGACTGATAGTGTTCCACTGTGTGTTTTTCTATACAGGTATGATTTTACATTATCTCTCTTTTCCCCTTCCTTAAGAAGACTTCTTGATGGCCACCTATCAGCTGAGACTATTTCTGATGAGGCTTCAGTGAACAGTAGATGGATTAACTGAAGAGCCAGATGAATATCTCAAAATCTGTGTCAAGCCTTTGCTGGATTTAGACCTGCCACTTTTTTTGTCCTCCATTTCCTTAAAATTTTAAGGACACACTCCAGAGAGTGAAGTAGAATAGAATAGAATAGCCCTTTATTGTCACTGAACATGTACAATGACATATAAATAGTAAGACAGCAGGATTAAATAGCAAACAGGAGAAATGTATACAATCAAGAGAAATATATATAAAAATTAGAAAAAGCCACAACCTAGAGAACAAAATAGTTGCAAAGTGCTTGGAAGTAGTGCAAAGAAAAGACTTGGTCTGAGTACAGAGTTCGTTTTTGAGTGGCCTGAGTGATGAAGGGTTACTCACGCCATGGCTTGGGAGTGTGGGGGGATGTTGTTTGCTAACAGTCTGAAAGTCCCAGGGTAGGAACCTGTTTGTGAGTCTAGAGGTGTCGGACCTGATTGACGTGAGGGCTGCAGGTCAAACGGGTGGTGGGCAGGGTGCAAGGGGTCACCTGTGATGGCCCTGGTTTTCCTGAGACGGGGGGATCTAGTGATGGCCTTCAGGGGTGGCAGAGGAAAGTCAATGACTTTTTGGGTGGTATTAATTACCCTCTGCTTAGCCTTCCTGTTCTTAGTAGTAACCCCTGAGTACCAAACACTCAGGCAGTAGGACAGCATGCTCTCCACTGAGGTGTGTGAGAAGGCCAGCAGCAGCTTCTTCTCCAGGTTATTCTTCCTCGGGATATGGAGGAAGTGCAGTCACTGCTGGGCCCTCTTTACCAGGGCGTTGGTGTTGTTGGTCCAGGTGTGATCAGTGGAGACGTGGGTGCCCAGAAACCTGAAGGTGGAGGCAGATTCCACCCGTTATCCTTTTACAATGGCAGGGGAGTGATGTGTCTGTGCCTTCTGAAGTCCATTATGAGCTCTTTTGTTTTAATGAAGTTCAGCTTCATGTTGTTGTCCAAGCACCAGCCTCAATCAGCAAGTCGGACAGATTGAGGCTGGTTAGTGAAGAAATCTTTAATCCAGGAGCAGGTGGCAGGGGGGGATCTGAAGGTGGTCAGTTTGGTAGTACAAAGACTGGACTTAAAATCAGCAAAAGAAAAAAGGCCAGTGTTCGAAGAAAGACTTTAAACAAACTTCAGTAAGCCTGAAGAACTATTGATGGAAACCACTTTAAAAAAAGTAAAAGAAAGTTTGGCTTCTTGGCAGAAAAATATAAAAACAAGTAGTGGCTCAAGACTTTTGCACATTATTATAGCTCACTGCTTTTTCCCATTGCTAATTTTAATCACTTCAACTACAACTAGACCTACTACATCTTCAAAGGACTGTAGGTATGATGAGGCTCACTGATGAAAGCTGCACTAAGTCGTGTAATCCTTTGCTTCATCATCTTTGAGCTCATTTTCCTGTTGCTTTCCAAAGCTCCCTGGTCTTTTTTTCCCCTCCTCCGTGTGCTGCAGTCAATTTGGCTCAAAGCTCTTTTCAAAAGTGTGTTTCTCAGCGTTTTCGCTCCCATATCTCCCTAAATCTTAATAGCTTTTGTCACACTGTGACACTCTCGCTATAAGTTCCAAAGAGGAATCCTGGCTGACCTTGGCTAGCCAGCAGCACACACAGCATATTAGAACAGGTAACTTTAAACAAACAATATGCTGCATGCATGGTGATAATTCATGTAAAAAAATTAATTATGAACCACTGCAACATCTATCTCTCAAACAACCTTGTTTCTTCCATTTGTTTGTTCTGCTCAACAGCAGCAGCTCAGATTGATACAGAGGCAGACTAAACATTTTATCCATATATACTGATTAATGGAGAATTGGTTGAACGGACAGATTCAAAAGTACTGTGCCAGGTGAAAACATGATATAGGAAAAAAAATTAAAGTATTGCTTGATAGTGGTATAACGAGTATCTCCTCAACACTGTTTGCACTGACTTTAAGTGTAATATGAAATGTTACTGTAAAACTGTTAACTAGCTAATGTTACTACAATTGCTAGCCACTGTAAAAAATTGTCTTGATTTACAGAAGCACTAAAAGGTTTCTTGAATTGCCACCAAAATGGCTTCAAAAGTAAGTCACTCGCCATAGACTGCTGTGTTAACATGTCTAGCTCTATAGCAGAAATAAATGTTTATGCTACAGCATGCTACAAAACCAGTTTCTGTCTCTATAACTTAAAGGCTATTTTATTAAAACTTATGTAATTTTTAATATAAAAACCTACTCATTTTAACTTTATTAAGACTGAACTTACACTATACAACATAAGGGGTGAAGCTTTGAGAGATGAGTAGGTATAGCCACTCTCTGTTAGATAGCACCTTAGCTAATTTGTTTCAGTGGGCTGTGACTGGGGTGTTGGTGCTTTTTGGAACATTTTCAATGCAAAATATGTGGCTCGCTGTATGGTTAGCAGTAAGAAGACCATAGAAAAAGGGTGAGCTTTGAGTTTTGGTGAGTGACATTCAATCATTTAGGGGTTTTTTTGTATGTTACTTAGCAACAACCCATTGACTATGTTATGTCCAACTATGGGCTATGCATGTTGAAAACGAAAACCAG